TTTCTAGGCAAATATTGACTTTGCAATAATTGCTGTTATGCTGAACACTCTTTTAAACATTCTGGAGTATATGCAAATTGCCGTTATAAAAACTGAAGCAGTAGACTTTGTAAATATTAACATTTGAATCATTCTCAAAACTTTTGGCCATGACTGTACACTGGTCATAGAATTCTTTCCAGAATTCAGAAAGACAGTCTCTAACGACTCCTCCGTCATCATAATCCATCTTAGGTGTTCCATCTGGGAGTACAAGCTGGATTTTGAAATCTCTATCCAGAAGTCCATCATCACAGAAATGTGCTATGAGCTCGGGAAGTACCTGTCCTCTGTGAACTATCAGTATCTTCTTCACTGCCTTGGCAGATGATGTGGATTGAGGGGATATTGGCAAAGTATCATCCAAAATCTGTGGCTCACTGTCAGAAAACGGTCCTAGAAACACTAGGTTACTGCTATCCAAATCCTCCTCCCTCACGCACGGTGGTGTGGTGGTTAGCACTGTCGCCTCCCAGCAAGAGGGTTCTGGGTTCGAATCCCGGGGGAACCAGGACCTTTCTGGGTGGAGTTTGCATGTTCTCCCTGTGTCTGCGTGGGTTCTCTCCGGGTTCTCCGGGTTCCTCCCACAGTCCAAAAACCTGCATGTTAGGTTGATTGGAGATTGGGGAAATTGCCCTTAGGAGTGAATGTGAATGTGAGTGTGAGTGGTTGTTTGTCCTTGTATGTCCTGTGTGTCGCCCTGCGATGGACTGGCGGACTGTCCAGGGTGTACCCTACCTCTCGCCCGTTGACCACTGGGATAGGCTCCAGTTCCCCCCGCGACCCCATGAGGGAAAAAGCGGTATTGATAATGGATGGATGGATGGATCTGTTATGTTTCGAACAAATAGGAGGTCAGGAGTTACTTCTGTGGATATTGTAAATTGGCTGGTCATTGCAACATTTTCAGCAGATGAAGAGGAAGGCTGACTCAGAGAACTGTCTTGATCCTGAAAAAATGGAGAAGATAAAACTTCATCTTGACTGACTGACTGTTTGGCCTTCTTTTTGTGGGTGGTCAGGTAAAACCTGAGAATAGTCAGTTTTGTAACATGAAACATTTGTCCAATAGTGATTTTGTCATCAATTCCACTTCCTGATAATCTTTCAGATCTATTTCAAAATCTGCTATGGATCCTTTTCTATTTCTTCCATTTGGAAAGAAAATGTCAACAGCCATCTGGATTATCTCACTTTTTTTAGCATCCTTTGATACATCGACCTTCCTTGTTCCGCCACCTTTTTTGCTCTTACTTGTATAAAAGCCTGTTGTTTTTCATCATACAGCAGCCAGCCTATTTCTATTTTTCTCTTTGACTTCAGAGCATTCTTTTTTACAGTTGTTTCAGATTGCTCTTCTTTTTCCATACCACGGAAATCTTCATGAGCAGTTTTTCTTTTACCCAGCTTTGATTTCAGGCGCTCAAATAGTTTTGATTTGCGACTGTTTGGGTGGCCATTTTCCTTCCTTTTACAGTATCCTTATAGGGCCATGCGGTCTCCATCTCCATATGATGGCAAATAATTCTTTAGGTCTTCATCTGTCATAAGCTGGATGACGTTGGTATCAATCTAATCAAGGAGAATAAAAAGTCATTTCTTTAAAACTACAAAAATGGAATTAGAATTGCATGCAAATCATTTTAATTAAATTAGATAACATTGCTAGACACATGCTTTAAAAAAACTGTAGTTTCTGAAATATTGATTTAGTACCTTCTCTCTCAGCATGGTCTCGATAGTTTCCTCAGGAATATTCCTTTGTCTCAGGAAATCACTCAGGTCATCCATTCTGTGATCATACACTGGAAGAGAAGATACACAAGACCATCATCATATGTTTCCAATAAAATGTAAAGCAAGTCATATTACAAATTAGAATTTTACCTGAAAAACTAATCATAATATAGTCATTCATAATGCCATCCATCCATTTTCTAACACCCTTATCCCTAGTGGGGTCGGGAGGTGCTGGTGCCTGTCTCTAGCTAACGTTTAGGGCGAGAAGTGGGGTCACCCTGGACAGGTCACCAGTCTGTCGCAGGGCAACACAGAGACAGACGGGACAAACAACCATTCACACACACACTCACACCTAGGGAGAATTTAGAGACCAATTTACCTAAAAGTCATGTTTTTGGATTGTGGGAGGAAGCCGGAGAACCTGGAGAGAACCCACCATGCACAGGGAGAACATCCAAACTCCATGCAGAAAGACTCCAGGCCGGGACATTCATAATGTATTTAAGAACTATGTTTTTTTGTCAAATGACTTTACTAAGGCTAAACTCGAACTATTTCAATGTCACAAATAAATTCTTTCACAAAAATATTTAGCATCTTTTTAAACATCTTGAGAAACTTCTTTAAATTCACAGAAAGGATAAGAAAATATTTATTGGTAATAACAAAGAACCGTACCATTCCATGTTGACACTGTCTTCAGGAGTAGAAAAAGAAAAACACTGAAAATTAAGCCATCTGTGGAGCATAGAGGTTTTTCAATAGAGAACTGGAGAAACACACTATGGCAGAGAAGTCACGTATACCTCTTGTGTGATCAGAAAAGGCCAGTGAAAATGCAACTCCTCCACACCATCCAGTGTTGTCTTTCTGAAACAACCCGCACTGTACAAAAGCAAACACATATGGTTTTGATTGTTACTTGAACTTACTGATTAAATGAATGAAAAAGATTTGCACACAGACAAAATATCTATTTACTTTTTTACATTTCTTGCTTGGGGTGCAGTTACATAAATTATGTAGAATTTAACAATAATAAAAAAGAGAGAGAGAGAGAGAGAGTACGTGACATAAAATGCCATGACATATTTTAGCTTAACTTTAAAAAAAAAAAAAAATAGGTTAGAGGTATTGTTTTGGTGGCTTGGGAGCGAGACGCAGCATCTACGAACTACTCACCAGTTATCACACCACGATTTTGTGGTAGACTGAACATGTGTCATTACAGCAAATAAATGTACCACGTAATCCTGAGATGTTACACCAGTTACCGGAAAGTCAGTTGTGGACTGACGAAGTAAAGAAACAGAAAACGTTAGCTTCAAAGATATGAATGCATCTTCTTAAGCTATCTTCAAGATTTGCTACCGTAGTCAGTATGCCAAATTGATCACTTTATACTCTGCTAGCTTATATTACAGACTTAACTTAAATTAACAAAACATTGCTTGCAGGCGGCAGGCGCGACCTACAGTAAAGTAATCCCGGTACAGGTGGATTGAACCAAATCGAAAGGGGGTTCAACCTCCACAGTCCTGAGCCTGTGTAGACTATCTCATTATTTTTTATAATGAGATACTATTTCATTATTTGGAGATAGTATCTCATTATTTTGAGATAGTATCTCATTATAATGAGATACTATCTCATTATTTGGAGATACTTTCTCATTATAATGAGATTATTATTATTTTTTTATTTAGCAGAGTGGCGAAAACGGGCTTCCATACAAATGTGACAGTCAGTAATCTGAAAGTTAAAAAGCGATAGCTGAAGGTTTTTTTCCCTCCAAAAAAGCGGCTTGTGACATCTTTTCCTGTGTTACTTGAGACTGTTGAGTCCAGATGAAAGCTGCAACACTTGGCAGTTACTGTCCTCAGCAAGCAGCCATTTTAAAGAAGCCCCTCCCACTTCTCACAGACACTCAGTCTCACAGGAGCCTGGTGCAGCAAAGCCACCTGCAGCCAGAGAGAGGAGAGCCCCTCCACTCTGAGTCCACTTTGCAATTGAACCACCCATGCACAAAAGTCCTACCGATCTACTGTGGATGAATACAGTTTTAATGCAAATTTTAGATCCAAATGAGGTGGTTAGGTCACTTAGCAACCGTTAAGACAGCCAGTAGCCACTTTCCTTACTGAGGAGTTGGTAGCAGTGGTGTGTGTGAGTGTGTGTGTCAGTTGGAACAGCTCTCTCTGTCAGTTATTCTGCTATGAAGAGTCAGTAAGTCTGGACGAAAGATGTCTCAAATCTCTGTGCTTTGCTGAAGACTGGAACTCAAGTTGTCCATGTTTTTACACCAACGGAGCAACGGGACTTTGCTGATTATGACGGAGTTTCATTTGTCTTTCTAAGAAAATAAATTGAAAAAAATTAGAGCATATTTAATGTCTGTCTTTTCAGGTTTTGGGGCTTAAGTCTTCTCCTTGGTTGAGCTGCTTTCTGTTGGGCAGCTGGAAGGTATCTCTTGACTTTGAAGGCTCTGGTTTAAAAAATTAAACCCTGAATGCTGTGAAAGTTACAATGTGAGAAAGAGGATAAGTTTTCCTCCATTTTTCTGTCAAAATAATTTCAGTGAGTTAAAGATTGTGGAAACAGTTGCAGTTAAAAAGAAAAAATCTAAAGGATTTCCCTGCATTTCTCCAGTCAGTTGGAAGCGGCACTTTGTGCCAAAGTTCCGTACCGTAAGAGTCCATTCCACACTCAGAAATGACTGATGAAAGAATTTTGAGTATTAAAAAAATGCATAAAATACTATAAGGAGCTGCTATACATGAAAATAGCTCAACACTTTGAAACCATTGTTAAAGTTGAATGGTGTTTGAAGATATGCTGAAGTAATAAACTTTGAAAGTGGTAAAATGTTTTGAAGGATTTGAGGGATTCTTTATTCAAAATTTTTTTTTAAAGTTAAACATTTCATAAAGTTTAGAATATTTTAACATCAAAAGAAACACAATAAATGTCCCGAATGAGGCACAAATTTAAAGACTTTTCTTCATGAAATGATGGTAAGAATAATGTACAGTATTCTCTCTACTTGGCCCAGGGTGTCACGGAACGAGGAAGCATCTTGACCCACATGCATAGGGTCAATCAGGAGACCAGAGACTATGGCGTCAATTTTTTGTCAAAAGTTGTGAGCGTGTAAGCGAGTCTACTCGATGCATTGATGCAGTAACTCTTCTCCACTGGACGTGGATTCCCATGGACTTTAGCTTCCCTTTGACCATCCGATAGCCAGCTGTGGGCATTTCATTTTTGATGCGTTGGACTTCATTATAAAGCTCCTGGTCAGTAGCATTGCTGTAGTTCTGTCTGGCAGAGAGTCCAAACTCCCGCATCCGTCTGTTGACTGTACTGGCTGAAACGCACAGTTATTTTGAATTGAATTGAATTGAAAGCCTTTATTGTCATTGTACACAGTACAATGAGATTTGGAGAGCAGCTCCGTAAAGTGGACACATAAATAACACATACAATACATAAGTGCAACTGGAGTACTAGTACTAGTATGATGCAGTCCACAGACAGATTTATCTCCAAAAGCTCTACAAGTTTCTGCTTCTGTAGATTGTACCTGGGACGCCCCATCTCTCCAGCTACAGTTTCCACAGTATTGTTGGTAACTTCAGCATTTTCAATGTGGTCCATGACCAGCTGGAGGAACTTTCTTAAGGCCTGTACAATATCCGGGGGGACATTTACATGCCTTGACAGTGCTTCCCAGAGGTACAGCTCTTGCCGACATGCAAACTGTAAGAAGTCCAAGTCAAGAGGCGTCCTTGAAAGCGCTGACTCTAACTTAATGATCAGCCTGGAAATAATCTCATGTCTGACTACGTCCTGTTGAAGTGCAAAACAACATGAAATTAACACTCCTTAATATACTGGATACATATAACATATTCGTTATTCAATTTGAAAAAAGTGTGTGTGTGTTTGGGGGGGGGGGTATATGACTGATACAAACAGACGTCTGGCCATTGTTTTACACATGCAGCACAGAATAAAACGCTAGTTTGCTGAGAGACAGCTAAAGTTAGCCCCTGCTGAGTTTGCTAGCTCGCTAGCCTAAAACTTGCTAGTTAAGGTTGATTGACTTAGGTCAGCTACTTACATATTCCAAACAAATTTCAAATTAAATTGCTACATTGTTAGACTACACAGCCCCCATCATATATCAACATCACTTACGCCTACATCTTCAGGTGTCGCCGCCATTCCGTCCGCTGTTACCTGAACCCCGTCAGATTCTTTGACTCCGTGCTTCCTGTAATGGGAGCTGTCAATCAAGGTACAAGGACGTCCCTGTGGTTGTGATCACAACGAAGGTGACCAATCATAAGAGGGTCAGTGCCCTCCTTGGTTTCCGCCCCCAAATTGTCAATAGTCCTGTAGACTCGAGCGAGCAGAAGCACACTGCGCGAGCAGAAGCACACTGCGCGAGCAGAATTCCACTGTGCAAGCAGAGTTATCCTTTGAGAACAAACCAGGCGCTCGCTCACAGAAACTTGTGCAACTCTCGGTTGTTGAATTTGTGCGCGAATACTGTATCTGCGCGCGGAAAGGTAAATTTTTGCGCATGTGAAATAATATAATGTGCTTGTGAGAATGTCTTACACGCTCACAACATTTGACAAAAAATGACGCCATATTGCTGCACAAGGCTCCTGTGAGACTGAGTGTCTGTTAGAAGTGGGAGGGGCTTCTTTAAAATGGCTGCTTGCTGAGGACAGTAACTGCCAAGTGTTGCAGCTTTCATCTGGACTCACCAGTCTCCAGTCACACAGGAAAAGTTGTCACAATCCGCTTTTCCCATATGGAAAAGAAACATAAAAAACTTAGAAAATATTTGTGTCACCATTAGTTTGCTTCATGTATTGTGCATCATATAAGACTTATATGATTTACTCTTGAAAGTGGCCACTTTTGCATTTCTTTCATACAAGATAATAAAAAGGATAAGATAAGGATCGTATCAAAACTATTTATGTGGTATATAAGGAAAGTACATTTCAATATATATTTTCCATAGATGTCCCATATAATTTATGCACTTTTTCACTGTATGAGTGTGAAAGAAAACATAGACTTTACATATATAAACAACTGTTATTGTATATAGGTTTTCTGTATGTAAAATAAATGCACTTTGCAGGTTCATTATCCCTTTTTTTGTATGTTTTTTATAAGTATTTTATATGTCATTTAACAAAAACATATAGGAATTTGTGCCATTACATGTCTTTTTTTTGTATGTTAAGGCAATACAATATCATGGTCAACTATTTTTATTTATATTTTTCCTATAAGTATTTTTAAAACTTAACTTATAAAAACACATATTTTGATTCATAATTTTATACAGATTCAAATTACTACTTTAAGAAACAAATTAACACATAAATCTGTCCCTCTCCAACTGTAAATGTACTAAAGTGAATTACACACTAGCAGTTCATAGACTACCCAGTTTGCTTACAGAACAACTACTTCATAGCATTATTAACAGCTCTGCAGTCTATAAATGCCTCTCAACAGCTTCATCTGTAATACTGAAGAAAACATGAATGCTGGGCAAACTTTACATTTTATTACCTCCATTTGCAGTGAACTGACATTACAGTGGAATACTGATCTCAAAACATTTCACCTTATTAGAACTCTTTTGTGAAAACAGCAAACAAGACGGCATAGTTTTTGGATGCAATAGCTACCATACAGAACTTTCAAGTATCAACTTGGGCTAAACAAAGGATTGATAAAAACCTGCCCACTTACAGTATGACAATCTATATCCTCTAGAAAAAACCTGGCAGTACATAGCAGTAACACAAAGTGTGACAAACAAGCCATCTAAGGGGATTCTGGGACAGAGACATTTTTACTTTTGGCTCGGAGTTCTGTGATCTTGCCATTGATTGCGACACCAATGCTGGAGGGTTTGGTCCCAGGCCACCTCTCAAGAGTTGCACCTAAACATGTGAAGAAATAAGGAGCGGAGGGGTTAAAGTACAATTTAATAATCTGAAAGAAATCAATAAATTGCTATATATATATATAT